CAAATCCACTCCCGACATCGCTGCAAATCACAGGAGCTCTGTCCCTGCCTGCTCCAGTCACACACACAGTTTGTTCCTCCTGCCCAATTTCATGGCTTGGTGAAGGGAAAAGGGATGGGTAGAGTTGGGGCTGCAGTGAGAGGAAAGCACAAGAAAAGAGATTTCTGGTGAAAATCGCAGCCATGGGTTAACTGCGAGGCTGTGCTTGGTTTGCAGAGGACATTTCCAGGCTGATTTCACACCTCTTTATCCAGCAAAAATCAGAGTCATGGCATTCTGCCCCAGGATGCTGAGAAGGATAAAAGCTTGTAAAGCTTCAGCATGGGTGTGAATTCATGAAATTAAAAAAAAATAAAAATATTAATAATAAAAAAAATTCTAATATATGCCCGTCCTGGTCCTGCACTCCCCCGGCTGCCTCCACTCCTGGCTGCTGGACTGCCTGGCTTTTGGGCTACCTTGGAAAGGCTTTTTTGACACCAATTCATTCGGAGGAAGAGTTCATTCCCCCTAGGTGTGCTGCTGTTTTGGTGTTTCCTGGGGCCGAAGCTGTAAAAGTCAGCTCCGTGCTGCTCCTTGGAGGACTTTACTTGGCCTGAGGAGGCATCTGAGGTCACGAAAAGGAGCTGAGCTGCTGCTGTGCTGCAGATGAACGGATTATTTCCCACTCCTGCATTAGGAGCTCTGTGGATTTTATCCACGCTGCTTTTATCATCCCTCCAGCCCTTTCTCCACACGTCCTTCCATCCTCCATCCACCCAGGAGCACCTGGAGACGCCTCTGAGCCACCAGACCTTGGTGTTTATCCCAGGAGCTCTGGGAAGGAGCGGGTGGGGATGGAGGGGAGCTCCCAGAGCAGGGTTGAAGGCGGCAGGGTGAGACAAAGCACAGGAAAACACCCGCGGGAGGCTGTCTCCAGAAACCACTGCAGAAACTTGTGCAGAGGTGTGAAGGGAGCGCTCAGAGGGATCACCTGGGGTTAAATGTGTCCGTCTGTCTCTCCTCGTTCCCCTGCTCTCCCCCATTAACCCTTTCAGGGGGGTGCCGGGCTGTGTCCCCCAGCCCAGCGGAATCCAACACCGCCTTTCCCAGCAGGAAAGAGTCTCGTTAAATCCGCCATGCCCTTTTCCCTCGGAGTGAATATTCCATGGGAATCCCAGGCTCCTCAGCCCTTAAATGATCCCCACAGCACCTGGTCTCCTTACCCAGCGAGTGGGAAATCCTTGGAAAGGGAAGAAAGAGAGGATGCTGACCACGACAAAACCTCCCCAAGGTCTTTCCCCCTCCATCAGGGCTCGAAATCTGGGATGGGCGTTCCCTACACGGTATTTTCCACTGCTGCCTCTCCCAGCTCGCTCTGCCCCGGGAACGCAGCTCCTTGGACAGAGCTGATCCCTGAAACGCTGGGAGAAGAGGGGAGAAGCCCCCCAGAGCAGCTGGAGACCCCGATCCCCTGCTTTGTCCTCCTCCAGAAGCGCCGCAGCTCAAGCGCTGTTCCCGCACCCTAGGCATTAAATGCCATTAATTATCCCCAGGAATGGGGACAGCCCTAATTACAGCCCCGGCCTGTTCGCTTTGTTTGGGCTGGCGTCTGACAGCAGCAGATCGGGACAAGTGATGCCACAAAGAAGGAAGGAGCAGGGGAGGGAGAGAGGATCCTGCGTGCTCCAAGAGTTGGGATGCTCCCTGCAAACCCATTTTCCCCTCTCTGCGGCTCACGAGAAAGCTCCGGCAGAAGCTGCTGCTCCCAGGTTTCGCTTTGCCCGGGTGATGAAGGGCTAATTGGATGCAGATTAAAAATCACTATTAGGGATAATCCCTGCGCGGCCGTGGAAGCGCGGGGAGCATCCCTCCCTCAGCTCCGGGACTCAGGGACCCTTTATAGTAACCTCACCCCCGGAAAAAAAAAAAAAAAAAAATTAAAAGAAAGATAGTTGGAAGCCAGGATGAGCTGGGGGAAGGGAGATGGGATGGGGGAAATCTGGGAAGAAATAATTGCCGTGTCTGAAAACAGTTACTATGGCAGCGACAGCCTTGGCGCGCCTGAGCGAAATGTTGGGAACCAGCAGCGGTCCCTTTGTCACATCCTCAGCCGCACATTTAGATGCTAATGCTGCCTTTAACCTTGGCTGCTTAACCTTGATAGAAGGGGAAGGGCGGCCATGGGGGAGAAAAAGCATCGAGAGGCGGGGTGCTTTATGGAAAAAATGGGTTTCCTCTCCCTAAATTCGCCACCGAATGGACTTGGCAGACTCCTCTCAGCTGCGATTAACGCTGTCATTTCTGCGTTTAATATTCCGCCGAGGTTTCACCAGCTTATTTTATGGATAGCTGGCATTAGCCGCAGCATAATTCACAGCAGAGACGCTCCCGTTTATGTCCATCCCCTCGGGATTGTCTCATCTGAGGCCGGTTTGGAGAACATCCCCAGGTTTGATCAGCCTGGCTATCTAATCTCGCCTTTATTTAGAACCGGCGTGGAAACAAAGGAGGGAAAATTCCCCATTAGACTTTGGATGGCGGGGAAAGGAATTTTGGTGGCCTGTGTGGTTTTTCTTGAGGCTCCAAGCCGTCTCCAGCAGTGGGATAAGGGAAGAGGGAGGGAGAGAGGGAGGGAAGGAGAATTCCCTGGGGAGCGCTGCCTGGCTGAAACAGCATCTCCTGCACTCCCGGCCCCGAGCTCGGGCTCACAGCCCGAAGGGAAATCGCTAAATCCCAGCCCTATTGCACACAGATCAGCCACTAATTCTGGGAGCAGCCCGCGATGGCCTCGCTTTGGGATTATCCTTCACAGCAGCCTTTAAGGAAGCTTTTGCTGGAGCGATTCAGGCAGAAGAGATGAGAGCGATGCCAGTGCCGGATCCGCCACTCACAGACATGACCCTGTTCTTCTCTTTCTGGCTTATTTTAAAATATTCTGCTTTAATGCTCCGGCTCCTGGAGTCAGGTGATCACTTACAGCTTTCTCCACGTGCTCTCGGAACCTCATTTCTTCGGCGTGGTGGCAGAGTGAAGCCTGAGCTCAAAGATCACTCTGGGACAGCCGTGCTGCACAAAAGATTTCCATTTTCCAGCCCATCCAGTGCCTGTGGCTCGATTTTGGATTGGCAATGCCGCCTCACTCGTGCCAAGGAGGGTTTCTCCCACCTGCATGATGCCGGGCACAGAGTTCCCTGCTTTATTTCCCGGCTGTCACCACATGGTGATTGCCACAAAACCGTGCCCAGTGTCACCTCTGAGGGCCGCAAAAGCAAGCTGCCTGCATTTTTAATGATGCCATGTGCTAATAGATAGCCTTAACTCCACACAAAGCATCCACACAAAGCATCCTCGGGAGGAAATACGAACGTGAGGAATGATCCCACTCCAGCCCGACAAATCCTCACTGCACACTGAGGGGTGAAAGCATCTTAAATTAAAAGCAGTATCTGTCTTCTGCAGTGCACTCCGTTCTCTGGGGCTTTCTGGCTAAGCTGTTGAATAAAGTCGATATTTATTTTACAATGCAAAAGACTGCAAAATATGTAAATATTTAAATTTATTTTTTATTTAATAAAATTAATTTAATTTAATAAAAAGTAATAAATTTAATTTATAGATATAAATATATAAATAATATATTATATATAAATATAGTAAATTATATTATATATTATATATTATATATTATATATTATATAATATATATTATATGTTATATGTTATATGTTATATATTATATATTATATATTTATAGATATAAATATATCTATAAATATATAAAGGATAAATATATTAAATGTATTTCTATACTATATATAAAAATATATAATTATGAATAATATTAAATAAATATATATATATATAATTATATATATATTTATATTTATAAATATATGTAAAATTGCTGTAAAAGAGGCAATGGGTAACACTGTAGCAAAACCAGCCTGCTGCTGCTTTTTGGCTCGGGAGTAAGAGCAGAAATAAAAGTAACAGCTCTGGCTCAGGTTTTTCCCAAAAAAGCTGTGGCTGCCTGCAAGTGTTCAAGGTCAGGTTGGACGGGGCTTGGAGCAGCCTGGGATAATGGAAGGTGTCCCTGCCCGTGGCAGGGGGATGGAATTGGTTCTTTAGTTGGAAGTGGATCTTTAAGGTCCCCTCTGTGAATAACTGGGACAGAAGTTCCATGGTTCAGCAATCCGGCCGTGGAGATCTCAGGAGCTTTAACAGTGGTTCAGGGCACTCCCAAAGAAACCCAAAAACTTTATAAAATACGAGACCCAAAAAGGCATTAACAGCGGTGATCAACATCCGTGCCAGCCCTGCCCTGGATCCAGCACAGGTGAGGTTTTCCCCTCGTGGCATCTCTCTGCTTTGGGATGCTGTACCAGCTGCAGGGGACACAGATGTTCTGCTGCTTTCCAGTTCCAACCATCTCTGGTGCCAGGTGTCCCTCAAGAGCTGTGCCTGAACAGCTTCTGCTGCGGTGGAAAGTCCCTCCTGGTGCCTCAAATGCAATGAATAATCCCAGAAACCCACAATGGTTTGGGTTGGAAGGGACCTGAAAAAAAATCTGTCTCCACACTGCCACGGGCAGGGACACCTTCCATCATCCCAGGCTGCCCAAGCCCCGTCCAGCCTGGCCTTGGGACACTTCCAGGGATCCAGGAGCAGCCACACCTTGGCTTGGTTACTGTTTTTAAGGGGTTTTTTTCCTGCTTGCTGCGGTCGGTCACAAACACAGGGATAACCAAGCTTCCAGCAGAAGGGGATAGCGCTCCCGGGAGCTCCCGAGGAGCAGGACCGCAGCCAGGGCCAGGTGAAGCTCGGCCAGGGGCGGTGCAGGCAGGGCTGATCCGGGCAGGACTCGGGGCGGAGCGGGAGGAAGGCGGCGGCGCGGCCCCTCCTCCTCCTCCTCCTCCTCTTCTCCTCCTCTTTCTCTTCCTCCTCCTCCTTTCCCTCCTCCTCCTCCTCCTCCTGCCGGGCGGGGCGGGGGTCGGCAGTCCCGGCGCGCTGCCGCCGCGTGGAGCCGCGCTGCGTGTTCCCGATCCCGGCTCCCTGTTCCTGGATCCCTGTTCCTGGATCCCTGATCCCGGCTCTCTGATCCCTGATCCCGGCTCTCTGATCCCTGATCCCGGCTCTCTGATCCCGGCTCCCTCCGCCGCCCCGAGCCGTGCCCCCGCTGCGGGCCGGCGGCGCGGGGATGGGCGCGGGGCTGTGAGCGCGGCCGTGAGCCGTGGCCATGGGGAACATCTCCTCCAACATCTCCGCCTTCCAGTCCCTGCACATCGTCATGCTGGGCCTGGATTCGGCGGGCAAGACCACGGTGCTCTACCGCCTCAAGTTCAACGAGTTCGTCAACACCGTGCCCACCATCGGCTTCAACACGGAGAAGATCCGGCTCAGCAACGGGACTGCCAAGGGCATCAGCTGCCACTTCTGGGACGTGGGCGGCCAGGAGAAGCTGCGCCCGCTCTGGAAGTCCTACAGCCGCTGCACCGATGGCATCATCTACGTGGTGGACTCAGTGGACGTGGACCGGCTGGAGGAAGCCAAAACGGAGCTGCACAAGGTGACCAAGTTCGCGGAGAACCAGGGCACCCCGCTGCTGGTCATCGCCAACAAGCAGGACCTGCCCAAATCGCTGCCGGTGGCCGAGATCGAGAAGCAGCTGGCCCTCCACGAGCTGACCCCTTCCACCACCTACCACATCCAGCCCGCCTGCGCCATCATCGGCGAGGGGCTGACGGAGGGCATGGACAAGCTCTACGAGATGATCCTCAAGCGCAGGAAGTCCCTCAAGCAGAAGAAGAAGCGGTAGAAGCCCAGCCGAGGCGGGGAGGGATGGGGGAGCAGACAAAGGAACCGAGGGGGAGACAGAACCAAAGCGATTCTTTTGGGTTTAATCGTTCTTTTTTATTTTCTTTTTTTTTATTTTTTTCCTCTTAATTTTTTCCCCCCTCCCCAAAGGACAGACAATAGTGGTGATAACAAAGCGGCTCCCGCCAGCCGAGCCCAGATCCCGGAGCTCCCCTCTCCCACCGCCCCGTGCTCCTGAGGGTCTGATCCGGACTCCTTTGGGCTGGAAACATGGAAAAACGGGATGAATCCCCCCTCTCCATCCTCCGGGACCACCGAGCCTTTGTGTGCCGGGGAACCAACAGGGCAGGACCCTGTTGAAGTGCGTTCGAGCGGAGCCCAGCGTGCTTTTGGATCTTTAACGTGGGCATTTTGGGGCGGGGGGCGTCGTTGCCGGCCCCCCACATGCATTTTGGGGCGGGGGGTGCGGATTCATCGTGGCTCTGCAAGGTCAGCGGGGAGGGGGCTTGCAGTCCTTATCCCTGCATCCCCGCATCCCTGGATTCCTCCCCCGCGGGTGGCGGTGGGAAGAGGTGTTGAAAGGTTGGAGGGGGGGTTTGGACCTGCAGAAAATGTCTTGGAGGGGTGGATGTGATGGGTAAGGGGACATCCACACCCACCCTGGTCCGTGTTTTAGGGTGCAGAGCAAGGACGGGCAGCCTTTGGGGAGGGGGGGAGGATGCGACACTGGGGCGCTGAGCAGCTGCTGAATGGGGCAGAGCTTTAAGCTCTTGGCTCAAAAAAAGGGGGAAAGAAGGAAAAAAAATACCCAAGGGTTTGGGGTGAACGCTGCTGGAAGCATTGGGGGTGGGTTGTGAGGCACCCCCATTTCTCAAAGGCTCGGTGGTGTCACCTTGTGCACCAAAGCTCCCCGCAGGTGTGCACGGTCCCCGTGCTCAGGGTGCTCCCAGGTGCGGCTTTGGAGGTGATCCAAACTAGGGGTTACTTGGTAAAACCCCCACAAAAAAAGGCAGAGTTTGGGGTTCTGGCCACTGTGCTGCTCTGCAGTGGGGCAGGAGGCCAAGTCGAGGGAGGAGGGGGTGGTGGGTCATGGCAGGGCAGGATGGATGGATGAACAAACAGAGGTGGCCAGAGCCTGCAAAAAAAATCTCTGCTGGAAAGGGAAAATGGCAGGGGGTGAAGAGGCATGGGGGAATTTGTGGTAGGTTTTTAATAAAGATTCAAAGCCAATTAAAAGCCCCTCGCTTTCCCCGGTAGCCACATGGGCAAGCTCTGCCTGCAGAGCAGCCTGAGCGCCCGGGCAGGGTCGGGCCTGGCCGCCTCCTCCTCCTGCAGGTGAACATTTTGGTACCTGCATGGAGCTGGCCACCAAAATCCACTTGCTGTCTGTGTTTCAGCTGGATCTGGCTCTCCAGGGTCCTGGCTTCCCACAGAGCTGAAGCAGGCAGCCCTCAGGGGACAAATATCCTGAATTTGGAGGCAGGCAGGATTTTCTGGTGATTTTGCACCAGATTTCCCATTTGCAAACCCCTTCCCAGAGCAGCCAAGGGGAAAGCACCAAGCAGCCAAAAGCAAAATGCCCTTCGGGTTTTGGGGAGTTGATCCTCCCCTTGCAGCGACGAGCACCTTCCAAACAGCATTTTTTGGGGGTGGGTTTGGTAGGGAACAAATGTTGCAGCCGAGTTGTTTCTTCTCCTCTTGCGGGGTTTCAGTTCCCGGCGCGAGTCCCGACTTGTGTGGGCTGGTCCCATCCGTTCAGGTGGTTCTCTTCCCGCTTCCTCGGGTTTCCCTGCTTTGTCTTCACCTCCAACACTTTGGTACTTGCTGTTGAGAGAGAAAAAAGAATTATTTATTTTTGATGCCACAGAAGCCACATGTATTAACCCTTTTCTGGGAGAGCGACCCGTTTGAAATGTAAAAGCTGTGTTGACCCCAGCAGCTCCAGAGGGATCAGGTTTTTGGAATGACACGTGCAGGATGTTAGTGGGGGGTTATTTTTTTTTAACCTCCTGGCTGGTCTCGGTTTAGCAAATGCCAGCATTGGAAAAGGCTGTTTTTGCAGAGCTGGGTCCTTCCTGGGAGCTTCCAGCTGAGCATCCCCTTGGAGAGATGCTGGAAGGTTCGGCTGGGCCGGGTGGGATGCTGTGCCCGTGCCTTTGCCAGCCACTCTGCTTTCTGCAATAATTAAAAAGACTTTTCCAACGAGTAGCTCCTGGCTTCCGTGGTGTTTCCGTTCCGCCACCACCCGGTTTTACCCCATACCCCATGTGCCGACGAGCGTCGCCCTCGGTGGGCTGCAAGAAGAGGGCCCTCAGCAGAGCAGCTCCCAAGGGGAGCTGTCTGGGCTCTTTGCAAGGTTGTGCATCTTCTCAGATTAGAGAATTACAGTGACCTGGGTTATTTTGGCAGGTCTCGTTCCCCCAGGTCCGTTTGCTGTGTTCCCATCGCGATATCCCGCTGCCCGTGTCCTGCCCTCGCCTTTGTCCGTCACTCTCTGTTCCTCCCGTCTTTCCTTTTTTTCTTTTTCTGTTTTTTTTTTTTTTTAAAGATGCAGACATAATGCTGTGAACTGAAATAAATTATTTATACAATGAAAGGGCCTGATAAAAAAAAACAAAAACAAAAAAACAACCAAAACCCAGTGTTCTGCTCATTTCTCAGTATCAGTGCTGCGTTTTGCGTGGATTGAGGGAGGTTCCTGCTGCCTCCCCAAGGAGAGAGGACAAGGGGACAGAAAAGTGACCTGCTGAGGATCCAGTGTCATGGGTCTGTCACGTGGCAGCCTGCTAGGACATGGGGGACATCCATAATTTCCTGGTTAATGAAATCTGAGCTCTTTTGCAGGTCACTTAATGTCTCTGCATCTCTGCAGCTGTCTTGGGAGAAAGGAGGATACTTTTTGGTGGGGGGGAGGATTTTGTTCCACCACCTCCTCTGATTTTAAATCCATGTTAGGGGAGCGATCACACAGAGAGAAAGTTTCCATTTTTGCTCAGCATGGCTTTTTTTAAACGGGTGGCCTCGGGCAAGTGGTGTCGGTGGCAGAGAGCCAGGTCTGTAGGGGTTAAAACACCACTTGGGAGCAGGATGCTGCAGACAGAGCTTGAGGCTGCCTCTGCTCCTGGGTGGCTGCTGACACAGGAAACCCAGGGTGACATTTTGGAGGGGAGTGGTGGAGCTGGGTGGCAAATGACTTTTTCTTTTTTTCTTTTTCAACTTTTTTATTTTGTTTTGTTTTGTTTTGTTTTGTTTTGTTGGGTTTTTTTGTTTATTTTTTTTTTTGTAAGTGCTGATGAGGCAGCCGGAGGGGAAATGACGATCCTGGCTTGTGAAAGTGAGATTTAGAAGGGTTTGGGGTGATCTCACCCTGCCCGAGTGGGGTGTGCAGTGCCTGGGTGAGGGGATGTGGTGTCTGTTCTGCAGGATCAGGGATGGGGGCTCTGAGGGGTGACAGGACCCCAGGGAAGGGCTGGAGCTGTGTCAGGGCAGGCTCAGGCTGGATTTAGGGAAAGGTTCTTCCCTCCCCCAGAGGTGCTGGCACTGCCCAGGCTCCTCAGGGAATGGGCACAGCCCCAAGGCTGCCAGAGCTCCAGGGGCTCCCAGGGATGCCCAGGGTGGCATTGTTGGGGTGTCTGGGCAGGGCCAGGGGTTGGACTTTGTAGACCTCTTCCAACTCAGGATATTCCATGATTCTTTGAACCTAAAGGCTTATCCAGCACTGCAGCTGCTGAGCTGCTGTCAAAGCTCAGAAATCCCTTGGAGCTGGGCTGGACCGTGGCATTCCAGCGCTGAGTTATGGATTGCTCAGCTGCCCCCTGACCCTGTGGAGACCTTGTGGAAGGTGCAGCTCCCCACAGCCCCTTCCTCACACAGAGCATGGGCTCCTGTCCCTCTGCCACATGGTCCAGCACTCCTGAAGATGCTCCTGGCCATCCTCTGGTCCCATTTTCTGTGGGACACCGTGTGCTCCTCCTGGTTTCACGGATCTGAAAGCCCAGCAGTGGACGCTGCAGTGTCCGCACCTTCCTGAACCTGAAGGGACTTGTCCTCACCGATCCCACCTGGCAGAAGCTGATTTTTGGGGGTTTTCCAGCCAGCCTGGAGGTGTGGGTGCTGACACTGTGTCCCTGGGCTTATCTGTGTGCCAGGGGAGCTGGACTTCAGTCCCTTGGGGACCTCGTGGAGCTGGGGGCAGCTCTCCTGGCTTGAAGGAGGAACCACCCCTTTCCCTGCGATGGGGGAAGAGAAGCAGCTGCCAGGCTTTGGGCTGTGGCTTTTGAGAGGCTGTGACCGGCTGTGAGTGACCCTGGCTGGCTCTGCCCCGTCCCACAGAGCCGTACTGGGGGCCGAGCTGGGATTTCTCCCAGGCTTTGCGGGAAGGGCAGGAGGGGCTGTGCCGGCAGAGCTCCTTGTGCTTCCAGCGGCAAGGACGGAAAATCCTCCTCGGAGCAGCCTGTCCTGCTGGCCGAAGAGTGCTTCTGTCAGCAGGGGGGAGGCGGTGTTTGGGCCATGTTGTCATGAAAACACGGCACAAGGGGCTGCTGACCTTGCGGCGCCCCGAGGCAGCGCATGATGGATGGGGCTGAGCCACCTCCCCGGGCGGGCAGAGCGAACACGAGGGACGGTGCTGCGGGCTTTGGGGGGTTTGCGATGATTGGGGTGGCACGCAGCCCAAGGATGCTGCCCAGGGAGCAGTTGGATTGGGCTGCACCAGCTGAGAAGGACCTGGAACATTCCAAGAGGACGGATCAGGGCTGGGAGCAGTGGGAGATGGGGGTCAGGACAGGAATAAGCAGAGAGGAGCCACCAGTGTTGCTCCCCTGCTGGTCCGAGGCCACCAAGGAGAGCTGCTGAGCGATCTCCGAGCGTTCCTGTGGACAAGGGAGCCTCTCCAGCCTGGAGTATCCCTCTTTTCCATGCATGCAGCTTCCGGATATCTCCTCTGCCCCGGGAGCCCCTGTGCTGCAGGTTCTGCCTTGGCTCATGCTGTATCAACCACACAGGTCCTTCTGCCTCTCTTCCCTGGCTTTGCCTCGTTAAGCTAAATCCCTCTGCTTTATTTCAAATGGGATTTGCTTCCCCAAGCAAGGATCTTTAAAAGGATCATCCTGGTTAATGCAATCCGGAGGGCGCTGGATCCTTGGAGAGTGGTGTAGTGCACTGGCAGCTATTATTGCACAGCACCAGGTGCTTCTGGCCAAATTTTGGGGTGGGCTGAGGATGGGCAGCACTTTAAAATAGGCACCACCAGAAGTAAAAATTAAATTTAAAAAAAAAAACCCACAGTGATTCAAATGTTGTTTGCTTTGTTTCAGGCAGTTCCATCCTGGAGCTTCTTCCATGGGAATTACCCCCAAATCACCAGAACTTTTTGTCTGAGCAGCAAAAGGCTGCTGCTGTGAGTTACTTTAAGCATTTTGCACACACACCATGCAAAAAAAAAAGCCTTGTGCTGGCCTGGCAGAGCAAAATTGAGACATTTCAGCACGAGGATGTTTGAATATGGGGAGCTCAGCCTGGGAATATTTGCTCTAATAAACCATTCTGTTTATTTCAGCTTAGCCTGTGTTTGCTTCCCTCAGACACTCGTGTGAGATTTCAGGGAGGAAAGCTCACAAAGCCCATCAAACTTTCCAGCAATGACATTAAAACACTGCTGGAAGGTGAGTTATGGAGCCTGGACACCCCCTGGGTGACCAGAAGGAATCCCACGTGTCCCATGACCCCCTGTCCTCCCTCCCTGACAGCCCTGACTGATGGCATCCCACAGCATCCCAAAACGCTGGAAGCACGACGGGAATTTGTGAGAAGGGCAGAGAGCTCTTCATCAGCCCACAGATTAGATTCTTCTCATTTATTATCAGCCATCCTTATTTATTGCTGTGAATGATAAAATAGATAGGAATTCGAATGATGATTAATATTATTAATAATATTAACAATATTACAATGCATGCATTTATTAATAAATAGTGATAAAAACAATAAATAAATAACAAAAGGGTGGTGAGGCACAGGGTACCCAGAGAAGTTGTGGCTGCCCCATCCCTGGAATTGTTCCAGGCCAGGCTGGATGGGGCTTGGAGCAGCCTGGGATAGTGGAAGGTGTCCCTGCCATGGCAGGGGGGTGGAATGGGATGGTCTTTAAGACCTTTTCCAACCCAAATCATTCTGGGATTCTGGGATTATTTTTGTTGCTCAGCCTAAATTTTGTAGCTGGGGTGAGCTTCTCTCAGCTGACAAAGGTTTTCATGATCCTGTGGTGCTGGAGCATTCCCAGAAGATGGGAACTGGGGAAACAGGCACTCCCAAAGCTCCTGATCCCACCTGGCATTGCTTTCAAGTATTTTGTTGCCAGGAAGAGAGCAGGACACAAAGCTGGGTCTAAATGCAGGTTTTTTAGACTCCCACCTAACCTTGGTCACATCACTCAACTTGCCCCAGACTTCTTTTCCACAAGGATAAAATTAAATTTCCAGCATTTTTCCTACTTCCTAGGCTTCAGAAAGAAAATGTATAAATATACAGGTATAATTCTCAGATCCCCATGGTAAAGATGCTAAACCTGCAGGATTGTCCCTTTCCTGGTGGGGAAAGGAGTTGAAGGTTGAGGCTGGGGGGAGATTCCTGCAGGAGGTTCCTGCAAATCCAAGTCCTCCTGCTGTGCTGTGGGCACCAGAGCTGCATCAGTGCCTCTGCTCAGCTCCCAGCAGCTCCAGGCCATACTGCATCGTTTCTGAGCTCTCTGAAGCCCTCCAGCCATGTCCTCCAAGCGATGGCTGAGAGTTGTGTTAAGAAGCCACCCTCACCCCCTGACCCCTTGACGCTGCGGGGATGGCGGTGTTGGCACCCTATGGGCAGAGGGGGTGGCACAGAAACTCCTGTCACCAGCACAGCACCGTGCCAGGCCACATCTCCAGGGCTGGGAGCAGCTCGGGACTCTGCAATCCACCCAGCCAGAGGTGAAGGCCCGGTGTGGCACTGGGAAGTGCGAACACAGCGCGATTGTTGCGCTGGTTAATGTTTAAATAGCCCTGGAAAGCCCCTCTTGTGCTGCCTTTCCAGCTCTTTGGCAGCTCCCCCACCCTTCTGCTGCCTGGGGAAAATGTCCAGGGGCTGGAGAGGGAATGGCAGTGCTGCAGGTTTCCATCCTCCCGGGATGGGCCATGCTCTTCCCAACCATCCTTGGGAAACACCTGGTTGCTTAGGAGGGAGCTGCTCAAGGGGACAGGGGGTGCTGGGGAGAAATAAATACCAAAAGTAACAACTCACCACCCACACACCATTCTTCACAGAATCCCAGAATGGTTTGGGTTGGAAAGGACTTAAAGCTCATCCCCTGCTGTGGACAGGGACACCTCCCACCAGAGGTGGGACCAGGTTCCTCCAGCCTGGCCTTGGGCACTTCCAGGGATCCAGGGGCAGCCACAGCTGCTCTGGGCACCCTGTGCCAGGGCCTGCCCATCCTCAGAGCCTGGAATTCCTTCCTTAATTTTTCTCCTTGGAGCCTGTGCTTGGTTGTTCCCCATCCACAGCCACATCTCCAGAACAAATGGCCT